AACCGCTCTATAAATACATTTATTTGGCAGGCCATTGTACAGATTGATCAATTGAGGTTGTGTGCTGCCACCCTGGAGCTGAGGCAGCTGCTGAACGCTGCGTTACGCAGTTTCAGGCTTATGTACATGTCTTGGAAAGAAAATTTCAGTGTCAGGAAAGTGGCGTCTTTCTGTACTCTGCCAGCTTAGATCTCCTGCAGTTTTGGAGCAGCAAAGCTCAGTTAGTGTAGGTGTGTCTAGAAAATAGATTCTTCCTTTTGAGCACTGAATTCACCAGCACGATTTCTGAGAAGCTGAGAAGGGGGCGGGATGTGACTGGTGAGGTCTGAGATTCTGGAGCCTTATGCTGTGGCAGCTGCAAAATGTCCCCAGGTTCCACGTGGGGAATGAGCAATTGTGTGTCACCTGGAGGAGTCCTGAGGTGGGAGATTTTTGAAGCTGTGTGTGTTTATTCATTGAAGAGCTTTACAAGTAGTTTTTAAGGATTTTTTACAGATCATTAGCCAGAGTATTTCTGTGTCCCTCAGATCTGTAGCATGGAAATGCTGGAAATACACGGCATCTGGTGGAAGGATACAAAAGCAGTCCAAGTGAAATGTTTTTGCACAATCTTAACCACTTTCCCTGCAGTCTTTTTGTTGAGCCTTTAGCAGACAGAATAGCTAATGAGCTGGCATGGCATTCAGGTGTTACAGGTTTCAGTTTGGCAGGGCTTTGTCTGGAAATCATTCCTGGATTTTCCAGTCATGAATGTCAAACCCACACCACTCTGATGTTCCTATAATCCTAAGATGTTTAATTTATCTCCCCTGTGCATCCCACTCTTTTCGTATGTGCACAAGCATATGCTGGAGGGAGGAATAAAAGGGACAGTCTCTTTATATTTTATATTTTGTATGGATCTATACCTTGATTAATGCAGAGAGCAAATCTCATTTTTTAAATTGATGACTCATTTCTCATATTGTTTATTCAAAATGAGGCCGTGAGAGCCTTCCAAACCATCACTCTGCAGTCACTGATGCTTTTAGATCATTTTATGTCCATGTTTTGTAGGAGGAAATGATTATTATGAGGGAGGGCTGGCTTTCTGGGGAGGGGAGAGTGGAAAGTGGACGTAATGAGAGCGTAACAACAAGTGTCTCTTTCCTTATCCAGCCTGTCATCCATCCTGCAAGACATGCCGTGGCCCTTCTGATGGGGAGTGCTCAACCTGCCATCCCCACGCGACTCTAGCCAGTGGAAAGTGCAGGACTCGCTGCCAGGAAGAACAGTATCTCAACCTGGTGGGATATTGTGTGGGTAAGTGAGAGGAGATGGTGTGGGTCAGACAGGGTGGTGACCTTTCTGTGGCATTAACCAGCTACTTGAGCACACACTGTGAAGAAATCAGAATATCTGTGATGAGTAAAATGTCCCACAGATGAAAATCCCATGAGGAGACTCTCCAGTGTGGAGCTGCTCAGGTCCTGCCCAGAGCTTCAGTAAAGTGAGTTAAGGAAGCATTTGTGATTCAGAGAAGCAGTTTATGGGGCCCTAAAGAGAAATTGGCACAGCTAGCAGTGCTGTGTGCATTTTTGGGAGGTAACAGGATTTCTACATAGGGTTTATACTTTGTGGGTGCTCGGTGCCTGTGCATAAGCCCCTCATCAGAAGCCACTGGTTGCATTTATCTCTTTAAAAAGAAAACTCGCTTTTAATCCATCATGCAGACATGTATAAACACATCCTGGGAACTGCTCCAAGAATTTCTGAGCTTTATCAAGCCTTTTTTTATTTCTTTATCAAAAAAAAGATATGGTGTGTGAAGCTTAATCTAGGCTGAACAGTTCCAAATGAGATAAGGAATCCTAAGAAGGGGGAAAAATGCATTAGATGTAATAAACATATCCATTGAGAGACTGTTGTTCTCATTTTAATACAGATGATTCCCCTTCACAGAGACTTCTTTTTATTTACATATATGTGTTGGGGATTTTTTATGAAAGACTTGTTTCTATGCTCTCCACAGATTAATTTTATGAACCATTTCTTCCTCTTCCTTTTAACCAACAATTACTTTTTTGTCTGCAGAGACAAAGAGAAGGGGGAAACAAAGTGTCTGAGGAGTAGGAAAATATCCTAAAAGTGTTGTACAGCTCCTTAGGGATAGAAGAAATCAGGTCGGAGAATCCAGATGTTTTATACAGTCAAGGAATTACAATGTGGAAATAATTCAGCATTTCAGTGTCAAGAGCTGCCTCTGCCCTGTAAAATTTCCAGGGCTACAAGCATACCTGTCAGTGTCCTGTCACGTCAGAGCTGTGTGCACTTTATGTCTTCCACCTGATTTTCCCATTGCTTTGCATTAGGCTTCCTATGAAAAAAGGGCCCATGGAAATGTGCTCTTCCAGCTGTAAATTTAAATTACAGGCAGATCCCTGCAAATGTGGTTGCACTTGCCCAGGAGTTCACTTATTTTCTGCCACAAATTCCCTTTCTTTTAAAGGAGAGGCAAAAAGCCCCTTCCAACAAGCAAATTAAACCAAACACCAGTGGTCAGTGCTAGGTGTCCTTCTGCATCAACCACACTGATTTTCTTTCTGGATTTACTGGAAGGTGCTGGAGAATGCTTGCTTGCTGACATGCCTGTAAATTGCATCATGTTTTAAGTACTGGTTTAGAGTAGTGCTCTTTTGTAAACCCCACACCTTACCTTATAGCACAAAACTTGCATCAGGAATTGTTTTCCTGAAGAGCCCTTAAGAGGGGAGGTGGATTTCAACAGTAGAAGCGGTTGATTGTTTAGCAGATGGTGGAACTGGGAGGTAGAAATGCCTCTGGTTTCCTTTTGAGCATTCACAAAGACTTTTGAGATAATTTTGATTTCCCAAACAGCTTCCTCTGTCTTGACAGGCAAGGGAACAGTATGGAATAGATACTTTCCAGGCAGGAAGAGGACTATTTTCTTTGGGATTTTTCTTGCTGAGACAAAGCTAAAGAGGGTGTGGAAACTCTGGAAATGGAACTCTGTGTGAGTGATTATGTTTTCCTTTACAATGGAAGTTGCTTTATAGGAAGATCAGGGGTAGGTAAGGTGGGGTATTTTTTTCTGCCTAGAGGTGAATTGACAAGGAGGACATTAGAGCCAGCTGAAAGGGGAGCATGAAGAAGATTTGTTTGGACAGTGGGAGGCAAGTCTACTGTAATCTCAAGAAGATGAGTAGGGAGGCATTCGAACTGCGAGCCAGGTAGTGATGTGCTGCCCTGAAGAACCCAGTTTGCAGGCTGGAAGAAGTCTCAGGGAATTCAGGAACTGTGTTAGACTGACCTGCAACAAAGAGAGGATGTGAAGCCTGCGAAAGCCCAAAGCCCACGGGCAGTAACTGGAGCTGGAGTGGGGATTGAGAGGGAGAAGGCAGAAGCAGGAAACAAGTACAGCTGTGTGGTGTTACCGAGAAGCACAAAGAAAACACTCTGCTTCTGTTAGTCCTTGCTTCAAAGGGAGCCTGCTGTGAAAAATGTATTCTTTTCCAAAACAGAGCACTTGAGTTCTTCCTGTCCTCTCTCACGAGATCCCCAGTGTCCCTCAAACTTACCATGAGTGTCAGTTCTGGGTTTTTATTTGGTGTTGTGTGCTCTTTGATGTCTAGGTTTGCAAAGGAACAAGAGAGTGATGGGGCTGATTTATCCTGAAACAGGAGCTGAGAAAAAGAACTCATTTCAATATGTAGGAGCAAACATAGAGGCTGTAAGGAGAAAACTGTACTGCAGCAGCAGCTCGTTTTGTAGATACTTAGCTTTTCAAACATTCATTTGGGAGTCTGGTTATTTACAGTAGATCCATGGATATGGGTTATTGGGGCACCCTTGGATTTATGCTCTGTTTATGGAATCCATTGACTACACACAGATGCCTCTTTGGGTCTTGGTCACTGAAAAACTATGTCTGGGTTTGGTTACTTATTGCATCTAGCCAAGCTCTCTGTTAGAGACCAGTGGCTCCAGCAAGAGGTTAAACTGGAGCAGTATTATTTTAACCATAAGGGGAGTAGATGTATTGCCAGGTCAGTGTGGAAGCATGAGAAAGTAATGGGATTTGTGTTAATTTTATTGAATGCAAGCGCATAAACCTCTTCGCATCACCTCCAGCCCTGTGCATGCATGTTACATGTGGTGCTCAGGGCCTTTTGGGTGGTATCTTAGTCCATGCTCTCTGTGGTGAGCTGTGTGTGATGCTTTCTGGCTTCGCTGAGGCTACAGATAGATGACAGGTCTTTCCCCTCTGACATCAGCTCAGGTTTAGGATCTTTGGCTGTAAAGATTTATGGGGTGTTGCCTTGGGTATTGAGTTCTACTCCTGCCCAGTCAGAAGCTGCAGTATGATAACCCCTATGATCTGCAACCCCTCTGAGGAGGTTTTGAGGTTTGTCACTGCGTTTGGGAGCATCACCTCATGTGCTGCTTCTCTTTTCTTAGCCCTGTCCTGACAGTGGTGGATTGAGAACCTGCAGGGTCACTGTCTTAAGTGTCATGTTCTTTCTTGCTCACCTTGACCTCCCCTCTGGCTGTTAATTTCCCATCTGCCAAGGTTGGGAGTGTGGGGCAGAAAGTAAATAGATTGTATACCCTGTAAAGTCAGGAGGTGAGAGAGGAAGCTACTTTAAGACCTTGAATCCCTGGATGCAGTCAGTATTGCACTCATTTCTGAGCTGCATCTGTGCTTTTCTACCAGTGCTGGGTAAGTATCATCTCCATGTCTTGTATAAGAGAAGTCAGGCTGGGGTTAGGCTCCAGTTGCTGTTACGTTCTTGCAGGTATGGATGCTGCATTCCCCTGGGCTTCTGTGTGAGCCTGTCTTCAGCTTGTAAAATTAGATTGCCTGACAATCAGTAGTGATGCTGTCGTGAAAGACAGAAGACAGAAAGCTGACCCTTCAGTAGAAATCTGACAGGAGGCCAGGTACTGAAGTCAAGCCTGGTTATTACATTTCTTTCAAGACAGTCGTCGTTTCCTTTATAATTTTTTGAATTAGCTTAATGAGGATTAATTTGGCTTCCAGGTTGCCTTACACTGCACTGTTGTGCATACAAAAGGCTTGTTGTAAAACCTTCTGAAGCACCCAAGTTCAGGCAGAGGTCAGGAGACACAAGCTTATGTGCTGCTGGGGAGAAATGAAAGAAAGGGAAAGGTTTTGAGGCGCTCTCATGCAGCTTTAAATGCTGCTTTTGGCTTGGCTTTGAGGTCTGCAGTGGCTTCTTCAGGGTATGGATGTCTCGTTTGTGTGGGAAAACCTGAACAGTAAGAACTTTGGGAGAAGGCCACGCAGCTGTACAGGTTGTGCTCTTTGTTTTTCGATGGTGGGAGCAGAGGAGGTGAATGCCTACAGCTGCCAGCAGAGTTTGTTAGGTAGCATTGCCGAAAATCAGAGAAAGGTTTGGGGAAAGGGAAGAGCTTTGAACTGGCTTTGCACAAACCTTTCCCAGGCTCACTTAAGGGTGGGAAAGAGAATGCTTGAATGAGGTGAAGAATGCGGTTGCTGAGGAAAAGCAGAAGTGTTGTGAAGAGCAGAGATGGGAATGAGGCAAGAGGAAAGCAGTGCTCCTTCAATGTGATAATTCTTGGTCTTCTCTCGTGCAGCCATCTGCAAGTGCAGCGTGTAGTACCTGATCCCAGCCCTGGTGCACCAGTGAGCAGGGAGGGGCTTTGAAAGTTACATCCCTAATGTCTTCCCAGAGTTGTCAGCAGTGTCTTTCCCCTGGGCAGTTCTGTTTTGTCCATCTGTGGTCACCGTGTCCCTTATTTCCCATTTCCTTTAGACTGCCACCCTTTGTGCCGTCAGTGCGTGGCCAACCTGCGGGACGCCGGCAGCATCTGCCTGAAGTGCCAGAACGCCCGTCACTTGCTCCTGGGGGATCACTGCATTCCTGACTGTCCCGTGGGATACTATGTGGAGAACGGTGCCTGCAAAAGTGAGTGCTCCCCGCAGATGCCTCAAGTAGCTGCAAGGATCCACCTGGATCCTTGTGAGGTGTTCCATGAAATGGTTCCTGTTGAGTACAGAAGCTTTGTCCAGCGGGCAGGACGCTGCGCTGGGAGCTAGAGATGTCCTTCCTAGCTCACAAGTCTGGACAGCCAGCTGGGAGCACTCTCTGCTTGCTCCCTGTAATCTGGCTCTGCTTTCAGACTGTGAACTCTTTGAGGCAGACAGTGCCACACTGTCCTGAGCTGTGCTGAGGCTTCTGGGACCTCGCCCGCTGTGACAGAGCCATTAATAAGCTCAATGAGTACCAGACAGCAGTGTGCTTGTGAGGAGGAGGTGAAGGTGAGTTTTTCTCCCTGGTAAATCCCATCTCTCAAAGGTGGTGGCACAGAGAATAGGATGAGGGTACACTGTGTTCTGTTTAGGGTAGCTACCCTGAGGTCACTTCTAGGAAGAGATTAATAACCTCAAACAGAGGCTTTTCATGTGCCCATCACCAAGTCTGCAGTTGGTGTGGTACCAGCACGCTTCTGGGATGCTAAGACTTGAAAATACTTTCTGGAGATGTGCTTCGAAGGGCTGTGCAACTTCTGCTGGCAGAAGGCAGAGCTCTAGCTGGTAGCAACTTCTCAGGAAGTTTGGGACCTGAGGTGGAACATCATCCTGGCTGAGATCTCTCACTGAGACTTGTCTTGCTGCAGTAATGGTCCAAAAGGTGATCATTGGTAGCAGCTTCTAAAACAAAAAGCCAATTTCGTTCAACCTTTTAGGCAGATGCAGCGCTCCAGCTGCCTGGGTGACGCTGTGCTGGTAGCACATTTTATTCTCAAGCCTTCTCTGCCTTCACCTATCCCCAAATCTCCTCCAGTTTTTGTTGGTGATGTGGTTTAATGTTCCAGTCATTGTCTGAGCTGCTTCATTTTTCGTGGACTCTTAGAAGGAAGTAGGTTGCTTTGCATGTTGTGTGGCTGACAGAGACGTGCTAAAGGCTGAGCACAGGGTATTGCAGTTTATTTTAAGAGAAAGAAATTGAGACAAGAAATTGTGCACACTAGAATGAAGATGTAGGTGCTGCTTTTGCAGGAAGTGGCATTTCCTAATCCAGTCTAACAACTGAGGGTTAATGTTTCAAAGCTTCTCTCAGCCACACCGGGAGCTCTGTGTTTATTTCCCTGTTTTTGATGAATGAAATCTCAGAGAGGTATGAAATACACTCAGTGTCTCATTTAATTGGGAAGATCCCTGGGAGAGATATTTCGCCTTCCTGGAAGTGTAAGCCTGGGGATAACATTTCTTCCCTTTGCTGTGAAGGTTTCATTTAAAAGAAGCTTTGCGTTATTCAGACCGTGTCAAAGCTCATATTACATTTTGTGCTAGCTTTGAAGATCTCCAGCCCAGCGCAACACAGTCGCCTCTCTGATTTCTTTGCCCACTTTCACTCATGATTAATTTGGCCTTATAGGTGTAATGGTGGCATCAATCTTCAGGTAAAGGCCTTATCAAGAAATAAAACAGACTAATAATTTTGTGAGTATGTACCCCCTTTGGAGAAATTAATAGGCAACACTGGCCTCATCCACTGTGGATTTTTAAATCTTTTCAGCCAGACTAAGAAGCACAAGAAGCAAGAGATGAAGGGATGGAAACAGGGAGAGAAAACAATAGGAGCGGCATAAAAACATCTCTTAAAAAATGCAGGGAAAGAAAAAGATAGTAAGGTACTTCTTTACTGGAGGCAGTCAGTGGGATTGCTGCCTGTGAAGAGCTGCAGAAGGATCATCTGGGTGTCTGGGCAGTAAAGCCAGAGGTTGGACCACGGTGCTTCAGCCTGAAAAACAGGAGAGCTTAGGAGGGGAGAATGTGACAGGGGCCTACAAAGTCATGAGTGAAACGGAGACAGGGCCCACAGAGACCCACTGTTCCCTCTCTGTGTTGCTTTTTGTGCAACTCCTGCCAAAGGGATGGGTGTAAAACTTCAGGGAGGTGTGGAGCTGTCAGAAAAGCACTTGGGGATTGCTGTGGGGCGATTCTAAATAGACAAAGCACATCAGGCTCCGGAGGGTCTGACCTGCTAGTAGTTGAGAGCAAGCATGAGAGGAAGGGACTGATACATGCCTGCTCTGTTCTTCCTCTTTGCTGACAGTCAGGTCTTGGCTGGATCCTCTAGACTTGCTCCTAAGGGGAAGGCAAGGTTGGAGAGAAGAGGAATGAGTAAAAAGAGAGAAGAGAGGAGAGGGAGAGGAGAGG